ATGTGTCTGGGATGCTTGAGCAGTAACAAAACATCAGTTATGCGAGGGGACAGTATTTTCTGGATGCGACACGTGAAACGCATTTTTGCACACAATTGGGCATACATTTGAGCACATTTTTGCTGCATGGTTTCATACTGCCTACCGTGAAGTTCCACTGAGTACACACGATCCATTCACTCATTCATTCACTGATTCCACGGCACAGTTGCTTCTTGTCCCTTTTGCATAAACATTTAAAAACAATGACCTAGTGAAAATTACCTTCGGTTAATTGCACTGCTGCTCCAGGCAGTAACCAACGGTGCTTCTTAAACAATAGCGCTTTACTGTTCGCTTGCCGAGAAGCAGTGCGGTTGATTTAGTGGAGGAACAGGATAAGTTGTGATGGCGCTGCTGTGGTATTGGTGACGATGATGATGGGTATGAATGTGTCACAACAGTACCTTCTGAAATTATTCAAATTTTGATAAAATGAGCTTGTAATGGTCGTTCACGCGAAACACATTCCCCGGCTCATTCACTCTTGGAAGTGGTCAGGCGTTCAGTCATCCAATCCATCTCTTCCATACACTCAGTCGGAATTAGAGCGATCAGGCGAATTAAATTTGTTGAGAACCGTGCTGCTCCTACTTCCCTCCATACAATTCGAGACTTCTTCCAGCTATTTTGACAAGGGCGTTGCTGCTGCTACTGCTGTTCACTGGAGCGCACGAAACAACAGGTTGTTTGAGGCTTCAACAACCCTATGTTCGAATGCTTCAGCAATAAATTGACTCCTGACGGAAAGGCTATTTGCCGCGACGTAGGGGCAGGGCCTGGGCCCAGATGTGCTTGCCCATGTGAACAATTCATGCGCAACAAATTTCCGTCCCTAGCATCAGCACTAGACTTAGCAACCACCAGGACGGCACTACTGCCAGTTATCTCCCTCCTCCACCTTTGCATCTTACTGTAACCGAGAGCGATTCATCTGTCACCAGTGCAGCTGTGGAGTTCTGGAATGTCCGGTGACATCACTCAAGCTAGCTAATTCATTCTTCCCAGCGTACAAGTTGACTGATTTAAAATGATTTGAATGAGCAATTTATTTGAGCGAAAGAGAGAATGAATGAAAATACAGTGATTTGTTAGGGTCTGAGGAATGTATGTGTATGTGTGTGCGATGGGGAAGGAATGTTGAACACCTCCAACACACAAATGAAACCTCCCGTCATCTCGCCTTCTGCGGTTTGTATCTAAAAAACGGACCGTTGATACCACTACTAATAATAAGAGCGAGACTAAAGGAAACTACAGCTACAAGAACACCGAAAAGTAGTTGTCACTGGAACCCTCCTCAATTCACAACAAATCTTGTTGAGCGCCATTCAGTGAACCCTCATTGGGGCGGAGACTGAAAGCGCCGTTGCTCCGGCTGACGTCTCCCTCCACACATACGATCCATGCGCAGTCTTCACTCATGGTTTCACTTTTCAGCTTCAAATTGTCGAAAGGAGCAGTTCACAGACGCAATACTTACAGTACAACCAAGAGCAAATATGGCGGATAAAGCGCATCAGGTGGCGTGACATCTAGTGCGTTTCGAGCATTCAAGTGGAAAACTGCTCAATAAAAAAATATACTGTTCATCATAATATCTGGATGGCAGTCACGAACAGAAATCAGTGGTGTTTATCCATGTCACTTGCCAAGTCACAAACAAAACCAGTCAGCCTTATTGCTTACTTGCTTCTTCTGAGGTATTTACCTTGAAGCTATCAGCAAGGGCTGCACAACGGACAATGGCCACAGGTGCTTTTCCACGGAAGCACTTATTGTAAAATTTTAATACCCTCACTTATTGTACAACCTCCTGGGACTACTCATGTCCAGTTTTCATCATTCATGGAATGACCTAAATCAACAAATACAACCGCCAGCCTTTCCTGCTTTTGCCTAACTGTCCTTAATCATTAGTGGATTCTATTCACTGCACGCGCATAATAGCTGTCCAAAAATCTTTCGAGTGATCGATTCTTGTTTTTGAGGAACTTCTTCCGCCCATGTACTATTCACTTATTCTCACTGAAGCGGGCCATGTGTTTTGCCAGCGGCTTTAACTTCTATTTAGATAAAAAGTTTCCTGTACGACACCCTTCTAAAAAAGCTTTATTTTTTAACAGCCATAGACGTCTACTCAGTCGTGTCCTTCGTTCCATGTGTCCTCTAAGACACAAAGTTTTTTCTTCCGCTTTTGTCGTTGACCGCATTTCCCACCAGCGCGTCACTATTTTCAGCACAGTGGTATTCAATTGCGTAGTGGAGGGTTTTTGCAAATTTTACACTTTCTGGACGCCAGCAACAATGTTGTAATTTGGAGAGCCTAGAATTCCTTTGGTGCCAAACCTTTGTTTCGGGGGCATCTGCCCAATTTTACTTTTCCAGCATTGCCACGACTTTCAACACATCCATACTGCCTTCGCGCAAACTGGCCTCCAGCACTCTTCTTTTCGCTTTCCATTTGATGCTTTTCGGCCTTACTTCTTTATTTTGAGTTTCTTCATTATTTCATACAGTTTGGGAGTTCTTTTGGCAGCGAGTAATGTGTAATATGGTGAGGATAAAGTTTATTGTCACTAACCTTCAAACCACCTTTTTAATTCCATATAAGAAACATCACTTCATGATGAGTGGCAAGAAACTTGAGTGATGCGGGATGAAAGGCGCTTTTCGAAAAGAATATACAGCCTGTTCATGAACAATGTTATTTTGATCGAACATTTTGCTTTTGCCTCCTTGATGATTTCAATACAGTTTTTATAGGTCTCTTTTTTTCAAAATGCTCCAGACTGCATCATATATTTCATTCTCGCCGTTGGTAATAAGAAAGCAGCCAGGATGCGGTAATCTCCAATGCTTTGTTCCAACTAAATTAGACAATATATGGTCTATTTTAAGTCGTCAGTACTGCTAACTGCTTTTGTAAGCTGGTGCATTCAGATCAAAATTGTAGTTACTCGCTTTGTATGTTTATACAAATGCAAAAACGATATCTGTGTATGTGTGCCTATGTGCGCACATTTTGTCACAACTCGGCTACCAGAGAAGTTAGGAAACTGAAAGCATGTGGTCACCTCGTGTGTGATTCTCACGTTTTAAAATTATCGCCCACGCTCTGGTATCAGAAACTGTCGCCGAAAAAAAAACATGTAAATTTTTTGGCAGGAAAACTATTTCAGAAACCAGATAAGAGGCGAAGATTTCGTATGTTCCATGCCTTTATGGGAGCTGAAGGTTTCAAATTCACTTTAAAGCACGCCTACTCACGTGTGCAGGCAAGTCAAAGTTGAGATTTTGACATCGCTGGTAAAATGTCAAATCGGAAAATAAGTTGGTTGGAGCAGGCGTTAAATGAGCCTTGGCGTATGCTTGCACTGCGAGTTCGGACACTCTAAAGATATTTATAAAGAAGAGTGATTTCACCAACCAGTCAAGCTAGGGAACATCTTGCAACGAAACAGTAGCTTACTGCGTCCACACTAAATAAAGAGATGGAGCATCTTCTAAACGTTGTTTCCGGCTCCTTCTGTTTTTACCTATGTATTGACTAGCAGCATCACAATATTGCTTCACCAGTGGCTCACCTCAGTCGGATCTTTACTACATACATTTAAAATGTAGCACAATCTCATATTCCTGAAAGAGGCAAAGAGGGGCAATAATAATTCATGTGGGAGCTGTTTTGTAACCACATACCTGTGGTCTGTTTTCAAATTTCAGTCTTCCAGCTCTTGTTCTTCTTGAGACGAATTATGCAAACTGACAGTCAGACAAAAATACGAGCAAGAATGATCCTCCTGAATTTATTCTTATACAAGTTAAGAGTGTAAAATTCATGTGGAATTTTTTTTCTGTGTTTCTGTAAAGTTTCGATCGTTATAAACTGCCGAATTTTTGAGCTTTTGGCTTAATCATTTTTCAAAATTTAGTCCGACTGCACCTAAGAACATAATTTTCGAAAGTTAATTTCTTTCATGTTAGTAGAAAAAAACAGCCGAAATTTTGAGAATGTGATCTGACTTATCGCAACGTGCTTGCATTAACTTAAATACAGACATGAGGTTGTAAATGAGGGTATGTCGAAGCTTAAAAACTGGTTTCGGACTATTTCTGCTTAAATTGTTAATAAAAGCAAAAACTAAGTATGCTTCTGATGGCGTTCCTACTTCGCCTCTTCAGCTGTCAAACTTACTTTAGTCCTCTTAATTTTAGTAATTGTTTAGCTAGGACATCATTTTAAATTCTGCTAAATTTGCCTTACAAAATGCCGAAATTTATCTTTAGTGAACGTATACAACCTTTGATTTAGTGAGACAAAAGCCATTTTTCCCCAGTGCTATGACTTACAGAGTTATTTGCAGTTCTGCTTAAACAAGCAGCGGCCGAAACAAACGTTTGAGTGCCCATACGTCGTCCCTAGCGTATTTACAGTTCATATAGGTTGATAAAATATTAAAAATTCAACACCTTGAAAAGTGACTTGAATAAGGACGGGAACGTAGACAATAAGCTACCCCAGTTCTGTGTATCTACCAGTGTGTGCGTGTGTGTGTGAGTGTGTGTGTGTTGGGTTTGCATGTGTATTTGTATTGTGTATGTGTATGTGTGCATGTGTATGTACGTGTGTGTATGTGTGTGCGTGTGGCGATCTGTACACAGCCCTAGTCGCTAATTATCGTTTCGGAATTATGTTTGATCGTGGAAGCGTGTAAGCGCGAACAATGCTGATGTACGCAGAAACGATCATCAACCGCCAACAAATTGCAGCCACCACCTCTATTTTGTATACTTTTCTTTCAACAAAACCTTAATGAGCTGTTCTAATCAGCTTGCAAAGAAGCATCTAGTACTTAATATGTCCCTTTCTGGCTCCACCTGTTCCACATCCCTCACATTTTCATATCCATCGCTTCAATGAGTCTTGTTTAAATTGCTGCTATTTTCTCGTCTTCTCGTCTTCAAGCAAATTTTGTGAAATTTTTCTCTAAAATAATTACATCCTTGTTATGGAGACGATGTTTTATTAGATAAGCTACAGCATCAGTGAATGCCGGTGAGCTACTCACGTGCTGAGCACAGCCACAATCCGATATCGCTTGCAGTGTACTTTCATTGGAAAATGATGCTTTGAGGTCTGGATGTGCAATTCGCACCACACAGAGATCCCTCCGATCGTCGCTGATAGATATCATTTTAACTGATTTGATCTGAAGAACTGAACTTTTATTGCTCCATGCTGTACAGTCTCATCGACCACCTAACCTGGCTGTCGGGAAGTGTTATCACCCTCAGGTACCAAATAACCCAAGTTGCTCGAAACTCAGGACACAGTAATACTTGTTCTCTATGCTCCGCTTATTTTTTGTTTAATGCTATTAATTGGATAAACGAATATCTTGAGCATATCTTCTTTGCAGCCAAACTCACTAAAGAGATACAGGGTAATTCCATCTCTATACATGTAACAGAGTTCGGGAAACGAAGAAGGAAATGGAGTCAATTATTGGTCGCAATCCTTTAGAGATAGATTGTCGAAGGATACGGTAGGTGAAAACCACCAAATTGTGCGATTCGGCAGTCCGGGTAGGGATGTTAATGCGGTCCGAGGTGTTTCGAGGAAGTCAATTAGCGGTTAGTTCGCAAAGGCAATCCTTATTAGTTCCTGTATGTCCTGGCCTGCTTTCCTGCGCCTCGTGTATATTGTCATAATCATGTTTGGATATTCATGCTTCGGCACACAATTATACTGCGCTGTTCCAGCAGTTGTTCACTTTGGTGTTGCTGCACTAATTCAACAAATTCATCGCATGTTTCGATCGGATTACCTCATTACCAGCGACTTCCAAACGCCCAATAATAACAAATCAGTTTATTTTGCACAAAACTGCATAATGCCAAGCTGAAGCATGGAACAGTTTAATTTTTCATATTATTGACAAACTGAGTCATTGTTGTGAACTCTTTTGAAGTCCGTCGTGATCTACTGGAAGAACTTAAGCAGCATCATTTGGTACGTTGTTCAAGGATAATCATCTTGCCAATGTTATTTGAAGAACCAATGAATCTCTGCAGCGGCGCAACAGAAGCAATGATCTGTGAAATTGCATATTTCAGTGAACAGACTATCCATTTCAATTAGCGTCTTATTGCTCGTGTTTTTTGTTAATAAATCGATAATATAATAAATCATGGTGACTGCACAGCGGCAGTATGGAGGCAACAAATCCGATCGAACTGATTACAGATAACAGTAACCAAAAATGCAAATGAATGCAGCTAAAGGCAATTTTGCTGCCATGATTTTTATCAGTAGGCGAGTAAAGAGTGGCACGAAAGCTGAAAAGCATTCAGAAACAGTGCAGTAGGTAGCAATATTAAATTTATAGACTTGTAGGAGCTGCAATTAGTCAAAGAATATGAGTTAAATTTCAGATACTAACTATTTATAAGGCTAACTGGGGTGAATTCTCTGAAACAAATTAGCGAGAAAATGTTAAACTTTTGTCTACCTATTTTCATGCGCCTTCCCATAAATTGGTTATGAAGTGTGACAAGAAAATGTGCGCGTGTTCATTCAAATAATTGAATTCTGGAACTGAAAAGGTATGGGCGTGAAATTTTTTCGAATATAGTTCCTAATTTTGTGTGGTGCAATCAATTTTTTGAATTTCTTGTGTCATTGTCCAAAGATGCAGTTGTGAAAAGCTCAAGAACTGAAGCAGCTACAACCTGTAAATTTTAGGGTTCTACTTTACCAGATAATGTGTGAATAGATTTTAAAACTTTACTCTGCTTTAACTGCAACTCCTAGAGATTCAAAGCTAATTTTTAAACTGCATTTTGTTTTGATATATTGGTTCCAGTGCAAATTGAAGCTCATTTTATAACTGAAACGCTGAGCAAGCCACGATCACAAATTTTGTTGGCTTACGTCTGGCAGACGAGCTAAAAAGTCGTCAGTATGGACAGAAGTGACCTTTACATATTCCAGCTCACGCACTCATAATGCGACTACTACAGTCAGGTAGAAAAAAAAACTCATCGCAGTGCCGTGCCTTTACTAAGCGCCGCTATTTATTGGTTCAAGGCTGTAGCAGTGTATTCTTGGTCAATGCTTTGTCAAGAATAGATTTTTTTTTGTTCCTTCAGTAGCAACAACCTTGCAAGTTTGATTTGGGGTGACAACGACTAACCTTTGAAAGTTGATGATGAAATGTTCATTTTAACTAAAGGTTTTCGAAAATAATTCCAACCTAAAAAAGCGTGCGCTAGAAAAAGTCTAATAAAAATTAGGAAGTCTGTAGGTATATTTTATGCATCGCGATGTGCTAGTCTACATGCCTCTTCTGTACTCTTGGTATGCAGTGATCTGAAATATTCCCTTACAGCTAGCACAATCAAGCAAAAATATGCTGATTATCGAAACCAAGTCTGAATGCAAAATAATTTTCAAAAATATTTAAAGGAATTCGAAAAGTAAAAAAAAAAGAAATAGCTTATTATCGCTGTCAATAGACAACATTATCTCAAACACTGCAAATTTTGCAAGAAGTGACTGGCAAGATACTTCTGGAGACTGGATGTGGCTCTCGCTACACACAGTGAGCTAACAAACATATAGGCGTACTGGATGATTTTGACGTTTGTAAAATTTGATGGATGTAAAGAACATAAATCATTGGCGGCACGCATACGAGGCGAGCCCGTACAATTATGCGTTTTTGTACTACTTCATGTTGTAGTACGGTAGCTTGAAATCTCAGAAGCTGAAGTTTGTGATATTCGAGTCTTTGAAGTTCAGGAATTCAATTTTGCAACTATATAATGCTTGGGCAGAAAAATTCCCTTAAAATTTCAGCTTTTCGGCTTCTCTGTTACTAGAACTAGCAATTTTTCCGCCAAAACTTTCACGCGCTCATACGCAAGGCCCAGACGCGCATGAAGGTGGATGCTGCAGTCCTGGGGTGGTACTTGGCCGGGAAACCCACTGGCCCCACTGGCCTGGGCCTTGCGTATGAGCGCGTTCGGGCATTTTAACTCGGTAACCAAGCAAGCTTTGACGCTGAAAATTTGCCAGTGGCTATACCTATTCGACTATTAGCGATGTATATATATATATATATATATATATATATATATA